TCCATTTACCCTCAGACAAGTGCTTCTGTTTTCAACGGTCACATACTGCCTAAAGGACCTTGTAATCCTGCTATATCATCTATAAGGTACTTTTGGCTAGAGGGAAACATACTGTATTTATGCCAATTCTGGGAGTGTTTCTATTTCTATGGAAAATGTCTTAACCCCTTAAGGACACATGACATGTGTGACATGTCATGATTCCCTTTTATTCCAGAAGTTTGGTCCTTAAGGAGTTAATCTATGGAGTCACTGTCACACAAGGGACTGCAAGCTGAGACTTGTAATTGCTGATTATTTTATATTACCCACTGTGGTGTATCTAGTAGTTTAGGGCTGTGCTTTATGCCCTTGCACTGTGCCTGTCTGCTTTATATCAGTTGCCATTTGCGGGTGCCCTCTGTTGCACATTGTGAGCCCCCAGATTTCAGGTGTGAATCCATCACTGGCACAAAGGGTTATCCCCTATTTATTAAGCTGTTTATAGACACCTGCATATGGCTGACCACGGAGGTCCCAGCCTTGACGTAAAATTGGGGTGCACCCCATAGATTACCTCACCACTGGCAATTTGGAATTCACAATAAAGTGGCATATTTGGGGGTTCACCCCGCAAACGTTAAGAGACTACCACGTCTCCCATTTCACTTAAGGGAAACCCCCCTTTCGTACCCCAGATGGTGAGCCCCTCTTATTTGGCACTGTACTCTGACGGCTGTATATACAACCACCTGACCCAGTTCATTCACTTTTGGCTATGCAAGGCTTTGGATAAGGAAGTCCGGGCACGTCTGCGGGCAGAGTGCCTCCGACCCCTCATGCCAGACAAGATTGCCAATACCCCAGAATTTGATACCACAGTCATGGTCTTTATGTCAGAGAACCTCACAAGGGCATTGAAAGAGGGCTTAAATCAGCCCAAGACAAGTTATTAGACTTACTCGGCCCACTGGCCAAAATACTTTATTTTGCAGACCTAGCTCTGTCCCAGGGCACCCAATTGGATCCAGGTGATATATGTGAATGGGCGCAGGTCGTCACTTCTAAGGATGGACTCGAAACTCCTGGAACTGGGCTCCGAAGAGCTGGGCCCCCTGTCTAAGGGCCTCATATTTGGGGAGCCGTTTATAACAGAGCTAAAGAAGCATGTCAACCTTTACACAACGTTGAACTAGGCTCAATCTTCCCTGAAGCAAGTATTCCACCCCCATCTGGCAGAGGTATTATGGAGCAGCGTGGCTCCTCTACCAGACGATTTTGGTCCATGGGTCCCAGAGCTAATGCACAATCTTCCTCGTCCTACCCACCTGTTAAAGAACTGTCTGTATATTGATTACAATTATTTTCCCTCCATTCGTCTGTTTGTTCGGTTTATTTCCCTGCCTGTACTGTCCCTATGTGTTCCCCTGTTAAACTACCGAAAGCCACACGAAGGCGCGACCACCGGGAAGCTGGCGTGTGCCTCCAATTGATCTCCCTGCAGCTAGCGTGTGCCATCAATTGACTGTTACTGGGTGGTCACGGTTACACATAGCCGCCACCCGGTGGCGGTGTTATGGAGCTCTCTGGATGGCCAGCGGTGCTCAGCCCAGAATCAGTGCACTAAAAGCGGATACTTTTACGTGCAGGCACCGCTGAGCCTCTGGCCTTCCCTGCTTCTATTTCGGTTGTTTAAACGAACGCTGGATTGATCGGGACTTTACTTAAGTGAATGTTTTAACCCAGATAGCTATGCCATGGAGCCTATTCGTGTAATTAAAGACTTTGGCTCCATGGCAATTGAACTGTATGTGTGTGATCTGAGCGCTATTCGGTAGTTATGTGCACTCAGATCTAAGCTATCTGGGGATATGTGATATGTATGGATTTGGTGTAATAAATGTAATATTATATGTTTTAATGTATTTTACTGTCTCTGTGTCCCCACATGTATAATGGTGATTTGCCTCTGTCCTGGGAGATAATTGGATTACTTCCCAATTATCTCCAGGATAGAGGGAGGGAAATTAGGATGCATTGTGGGGATGTTTTACTTCTGTGTGTCTGAATGTGATACATGTCTGCCTGTGTTACAGTCTTCCATCTGGTCCCCTAGGGGAGTGTCCACAGATTGGACAGATCCTTCGCATGGAAATGGTCCCCCTCATCGATCCAAGCGATATTCCCAGGACCTCTACACTACCGTGCCATGTAAACTCACGATGCTTTTGTGCCTGATTTCCTTCTGACAGGTCTCGGACGTTCGTGCGTTTGATGTGGATGGATTTACCTTCTCTCTGGAGGGTGTCTTATTCCTAGTCTCATGGCGTCCAAAGTCGGATTCGACTTCAGTTTTCTACCCGTTTTTCCAGACGGTTCCCCACTTGTACGTCGTTAGTGCTCTTTTACGTTACGTCGAGTTTACGGGCTTCGCCTTCGGGTCAACTCCTGGTGTCTTATGTTGGACCACATCTACTGGTATCTTCGACGACCTTGGCTAGATGGATTTGCTGAATCCTGTCTTTAGCCGGTGTAGATTCTAGCATCAGGGCCCATTCGGTTCACAGGGCTGCGGCTTCTCTGGCGGGTGCATCGTTGACCGATATTATGCGATGTGCGGATTGGTCATGGGAATCTACGTTCTACATGTTTAACTGTAGACAGTCCTCTCACGCTTCTTTTATTTTTCTTGATTATGAGCATTAAAACTGCAAATATGAAGCCTCCTGTCATGTGATAAAATTGTAAATTGTGCTAATGTAGTGTACCTATAATCTTAACTTTAGAAATGACAGAAGGCAAATATTTCCCACCCTTTCTCTTGTTTCCCACCCTGGGTAATTTCCATTTGGCTATTATCGATTTCAAAATTTCAATTAATGCTAACTGTAGGTTTTTATTTTTTCTGCAATTATTTATTTCCTGCTTAGTTGTTATTGTTATGAAGCTTAGATCAGACTTGTGCTTGGTATTATGACTGTTAAATGTGGTTTACATTGGGGGGGCGTGGCTTGACCACCAAGAGTAATGGCTGCCTAAGCTCAGAGCTCTGTACCCTGGACGCTCCAAAATGCTCTGCAAATTGCTAATTATCCTGGCAATAACACCCCAGTTCTTCCCATCCGACGGGTGAAAGCACCGGCTATGGCAACACATAGAAACACCAGTAAGAAACCCAGAGAAGGGACCCCGTCCGTCGCGGACATGCTGGCCACACATCCAAAGATCTCGGGGGCCCTGAATGATCGGACCCCCAGGCTCCCCGGAACGGCTGGAGCATGAACACTCACCACACCACACTACAGTTACTGGCTGAAGTAAAACACTTCCTGGCAGCAAAGATCAAACTCTACACAAAGGAAGTGAAAGCAGAGATACAGGCAGTAGGTCACAGAGACCCTGGAATGGCGGATGGACCACATGGTCGCGGCCCACAACGAAGCAGCCACAGTAACAAACAGCCTAATCACAAGGCAGACCTGGAAGACGCCTCCAATAGATCACGGTGGAACAAATTTAGGATTAAAGGCCTACCAGAACGAGTGAGGGACGCAGACATTCAAGAGGTGCTCACCACAATATTCAGAGCACACCTGCCTAACATCCCAGAACACCTCTGGACTATAGACAGAGCCCTGCAGGACCCCCAAGGGATGTGATCATGAGGTGGCACTTCTTATCCACCAAAGAAGCCATCATCAAAAGCAGCAGGAACTACACCTATGCCTATGAAGGCAGCATACTGCAACTGTACCAAGACATAGCACCGGCCACACTGGCGAGAAGAAGGGAATGGAAGCCGATTGCGGACTTGGTGAGGGCCAAGGGTTACAACTTTGCATGAGGACATCCATTGAAAATGCTGGTGTTCAACGGCACATGGCCAGCAGTACTCCTGCCATCCAAAGACCCCAGGACTTTCTTACAAGACATCGGCATAGAGGTCCCAGCAGACTTCCGAATCCCCACTAGGGGCACCAGAGCACTAAGCCATCTGCCCAGAGAAAAAGCATCGATTGGAATGGACGCTCCCTGACAGGACTGTTGGACACTTCCCCAAAAAGCAACTAAGAACAAACCCGAAAACAAAGACGAAAAAAAAAGAGAAAAACCATACCAGCACGTCTAGACACGCAAGTGTACCCAAAAATGTTGAAACTTAAAATAATGTTAATGGTTTACTTGTTTTATGTGGTCACCATGTTAAGAGGGCCTTCCCCGGGCATCAGAAACTAGTTATTGTGCTACTAAACTGACAAAGGCCAGGACAGGGTAGCTGTCCACCAGCCCCCTGACACACATGGAGGACTTAGAGCCAATTAGGCGAGAAGTAGATAAGCACAGGGCTAACAAACTCCGCGAAGGATCAAAGCAAAGGCCAAGGGCCACAAACTACATTAGCCAAACCCGCTGCACCAACCATCAAACCTGTACGTCTAGAAGAAAGATGGGGGAGACAGTGGGACCTGACAGGGTACAAAATACGAAGACAAAAGTGCTGACAACCTATAAGCCATTAGCAAAACCATAGGCGACTCAAGGTGGTTACCGGTAAACTCTGAAGGCACACGGACTAGTACAGGGCAAGGGGAAATGGGGGGAAGCAGAAGCCTAGTTACAGGCACCCAAATAGCAGGGTGGCAAGGCCCAGAGGGAGATCGTAATACCTCTTTAAACAATTGTGATAGACTGTTATTGTCAAATGTTAAAGTTTTTGATAACTGTATATTCTTTTTCATATGAAAAGTTGCTAAAACAGAAAAACTGAAAGGAATAATTGTGCAAAAATACACCACCCGGAACGTTGGCGAGGTGCTCGGCGGCTGGATAGCCTCTTCGCAAGTGGTGATTCCCACTGCGGAGTGGATCGTCACCCCCCGATCGGTCTGGTGACACATAAGACTGGGTTTTCTTAAATACAGAACCTACTCTGCAAGAGTAAAATATAAGCTTAATATAAATATAAATATTTATAATATAAATATAAGCTTAATTGTATCTATTTATATCATTATTTAAAATTTGTATCATTGAACTCTCTGTTGTTGTGTTCTTTTAAAACAAAAGTTGTTCATTAGTTCAGACAACAGTACGAGTTGTTTTTTCTAAACTTAAACCTCAGTATTCAAGTTTAATTGCCGTGTCGGCACTTTAAGGAAAAAAAGTTGTCATGTACTGCGGTTTGGGCACTCGGGCTCAAAAATGTTCGTCATCACTGCTTTATACCCTACACTTAATTAATTTGTGTTCTCCTCAACGAAGTTTAAATATGTTTAACCATTACTGTTATGAACGTCAAATATAAAAAAAAACCTTAACGGATGGCGATCATGCCAATCACCTGAGTAAAATTTAATATGTACTAATGTTTCCTTTCTGTATCATAAAGCATATGTGATAACCATTTTCCGGCTTTTGCATAAGCCATATAAGACATATCGCTTTCTCTGTCAAGACAAAAATAAAGAATAAAAAAAAAAAAAAACTAATGTGGTTTACATTAAATTAGTTGCCTCTTTTGAACTTGATATAGACAGTTGTTGGATAACAGACAACATGCCACTTCAGATGCCTTTCACTTCTTTCTGTTGCTTTTCAGTGAAATTATCCCATTATACCTCGCTTCTGGATTCTACAGACACTTTGGATATTCCCACTACCGTAGTCTGGATTACAAGTTTATTTCTGGATTTCTATCGTATTGTTCGCTGTTGGATCTATGTTGAACTCTGCTGAAACTTTGATTTTGTTCAGTGTAGGCATAGATGCTTTGGCTAGTATTTAAACTGTATTTTTGTTTTGCATGGTAGTACTAGGTTGCATAGACATGAAGGGTCCAATGTTCATTTTTCCGAACCAAGGTGACTAATTAGAATTTTTTCTGCTCCCCAAATCCTGTTAGTTCCAGTCCATTACTCACGTATAATTGTGTCTTTCTCCTGCTTCCAACTTACTGTCTTACTGTAATTGTAAAATGTTAAATGTTAGAGATGGTAAAAAGAAAATTTGCTGAACTGGAAAAATTCAGTTACGCTTCCATTTTGGCTATTGGGACCTAAAATTTTAAATTCACTTTTAACTAAAGTAAATAACACTCCCTATTAGTGCTAGAAAATTAGTCTCTTTTAATTGGAGTAAATTTAAATCTGACAAAATTTAAAAGGATACTCTAAGCACCAAACAACTTTACCTTATTATTAATTTTATTTATAAAGCTCCAACAAATTCTACAGCACTGTACAATGAGACTGGAGGACTAACAAACACATATTTGTAACCAGATGAGTTGGACGCACAGAAACAGAGAGGGTTGAGGGCCCTGCTTAAATGAGCTCACATGCTAGAGGGAGTGGGGTAAATTGACACAAAAGGTAAGATTTAGGGTACAAAAGCAGATTGATAGAATAGTTTTCGCTGAGGACTTTGTGGTTTGTTTGTTTTTTTGGATGACAGTGGCAAGAGAGGAAACAGAATTAAAAACAATGCAGTGTCAAAACTAAACAATTAAACTGATTGTGCTTGGATGTATATACTCACAATACATATAATGTATCTGCTAAGTGTTTAGTTTTGCCATTGCATTTTAAAAAAAAATTCTGTTTATCACATTAAAGGGACACTATAGTCACCAAAACAACTTTAGTTGTTAGTTTAGTGAAGTGGTTTTTGTGTATAGATCATGCTTCTGAAGTTTCACTGCTCAATTCTCTGTTGTTTAGGAGTTAAAGGGACACTATAGTCACCAGAACCACTACAGCTTATTACATTTTTTTCTGTTGAGTTGAATCATTACCTTAAGGCTTTTTGCTGTAAACACTGCTTGTTTCAGAGTAAATGCAGTGTTTACATTACAGCCTTCATCTCTATGAGGAAAATGCTGATTGGCCAGGGCTATGTCAGTCTCAGCCAATCCTATAGGGATTGGATACGGCTACCACTTCTGCTGATGTCAGCAGGCAGTGGGAAGGCCGAAACCAGGACAAAATAAGCAGCTGCAGACTTGAATACAAATAAGATTTTACTATATTTAGGGAGACAAGAGGGGACCAGGTTGGCTAGATGGTGGCTTTAACCCTATAGGGTCAGGAATACGTCTTTGTGTTCATGAGCCTATAGTGCTCCTTTAAATCACGTTTGTTTCCATTGATGCAGCCCTAGCCTCACCTCCTCTAGCTGTGACTGACATAGCCTGCATGAAAACAAAATGGTTTAATTTTCAATCAGATCATACATTTTTTTCTTGTGCTCTTTAAGTTTAATTTTAATCACATACAGAAGGCTCCTGGAGGGTCTAGCAAGCTATTAACAGAGCAAGAGATGAGAAATTCCAAATTAAATAGAATTTGCAATAAAGGAAGTGCAAACATTAGATGACACTTTACAGGAAGTATTTAGAAAGACTGCAAGTCACATGCAGGAAAGTGTGACTAGGGCTGCATTAACAAAGTGATTTAACTAAATGGCACATAATTAAGCAGTGAGATGGCAGAGGCATGATCTACACACCAAAACTGCTTCATTAAGCTAAAGTTGTTTTCGTGTCTATAGTGTCCCTTTAATTTTGCATAATATATATTCACAATACTCTTACAAAAGATTTATTCAAATACACTTTAGTTATTTAGCACCATTTATATTGGAAGCCAAAAGAGCTGATGAGTTTACCAATGAAGGCAGTACAGATCAAGAACAGTAGGGGACCATGGACAGAACCTTGGGGAACACCATCAGAAAGATGTTGCGGAGAAGAGGCAGATCCAGAAAAAGAAGCACTGGGAGAGGTAGGAGGTGCACCAGGAGAGAGCAGTATTTCACAGATCGAGATTATGGATGAGAAATGTTGAAAGCAGCAGAAAGGTCAAGGTGAATTAGGATAGAATAGTTATCACTAGATTTTGTATCGGTTAAATAATTGGATACTTTGGTCAGAGCGGTTTTGACAAAGTGACGACTAATACTTTAGTCACTCATTCTTGTGTACACAACTCTCTCAAGGATCTTGGAGGCAAATGGTAGTAGTGAGATAGGGCAGTTGTTGAATGGAGATTTAGGGTCAAGGTTGGGCTTTTTTCTTTATTTTTGAATCAGGGTTATGGTTGTATGCTTAAGGGGTGAATAAAATATGCCAGAGAAGAGGGAGCGATTGAATATTTTAGTAAGAGACAGATCAAGAAAAGGAGACGCAGTGTAAATGAGTTATGACCGAATAGGATTGAGGGTTGGGCAGAGTGGAGCAGAGCAGGAATCTTTTCTGTTGTGGGTACAAGTGAGTATAGAACAGCAGAGGGAGAGGGGTTGGTTGAAGTATTGGTAGGGAAAAGAGAGATATTAATGATCTCTCCATATGAGGACCAGCAGCAACAGAGCGAAAGAGAGAGTTAAAAGTGCAAAAGTGGCGTTTGGCTTCACGGCAAAGTGTGGTTATGAGGGTATCGTTTTCTTTTCTAATTAATCGCCTTGGATTGGAAAGATGAAATTTGGACCATTCATGTCTATGCAACCTAGTTCTAAGCAAAACAAAAATACAGGTTCTTAATTTATTACAGAGGGAGTCAGACGCAGAATGAGACTTTTCTTCCGGTAGTGTTCAGCAGTTCTGGAGCATTTCTAGAGGTAGAAAATCAGCTTGGTGTGCCAAAGTTGTAATTGGAGGTGCTTTCTATGTTGTTTTTTTTTTTATCAAGGAGGTGCCATGATATCTAGTTGAGAGGAGAGGGTGGAGTTGTAGAAGAAGTTTGCAGAACTAGGGCAAGTGAGGTTTGAGATAGGTAAAAGAGTTTGAAAGTTGGTGGAGAGTCACTGTAGGTCTAGACAGTGGAGGTTTCTGTGAGACTGATGCACCAAGGGTGGTATAATTTGGGTATAGGGTATGCCGATGTCAAAGGTCAACAGATGGTGGTCAGATAGAGGAAGTTTAACACTCAGGAGATTTGAAGTGGTACGGAGATTGGACAAGTTGAGATAAAGAGTGTTTCCTGCTGTATGAGTTGCTAAATTATACCATTGCGTAAGGCCAAAGGAGGAGGTTACAGAGGCAGTCAAAAGGCATCAAGGCAGTTAGGGTTGTTGATTGGGATATTAAAGTCCCCAAATATGAGGGAAGTATAGCTAGAGGAGAAGTGGGGTAGCCAGGAAGATATGTGTTTAATGACTAGCCTAGGATGACCGAGGAAAGGGGCGATAAATTATAACACTTCTTAAAGGCGTGTGTTTAAATAGGCAGCAAGTGTGAACTTCAAATGCAGGAAAAGATAAGGCAGGAGCTGGGAAGATTGCTTGAAAAGGTACATTGGCCTACTGAATAAAATATACAATTGTTGGAACTTGTGAAATACGGTGCTACTATCACCTGTGTGGATCACTCAACACACATATAAAGTGCAACAAAGTGAAATAAAAGATGATGAGAGTACTCAATAAACATAGAATTTACCAATAATAAAATGGATACAATCCTAAACAAATAGAGATAAAAGACCATGTTGCCAAGTCACTTAGAAAGCTGACTCAGACTAGAAGCATAAATGTTTTCTCCGCTTTATGCTTCTAGTCTGAGTCAGTTTTCCAAGTGACTCAGCAACATGTGAGTTGGACACATAATATGTGGTTTTGATATATGTTTTTACTATATTACCCTATGGTCTTTTATCTCTATTTTTTACAATTGTATCCATTTTATTATTGGTAAATTCTATGTTTATTGAGTGCTCTCACCATCTTTTATTATTTCACTTTGTTACATTTGCCTACGCTGCTTCCTTTACAGTTAAGTCTGGGTGTGTGGGCCCATGGGTGCAGAGTGGCTGCTCTAAATAAACAATGGGGGAAGCGGGTGGACTTCCTATTCACTACCCTAGTTTCATGTCCCTCCCTGTCCTTAGTGGCCAAGGGTCCCCATTAAAATTTACTTACCATCAGATGTCTTCTAACTCTTGTTTTCATCAACCCCCAAAAAGTCCAAACTAAAATCCATAAATGCTGACGAGTATTAAAGTATTAGTTTTATTGCTCCCTGCGCTTCCTCCCCACACTATTATTAGGGTGAATGTAAGCATGGCCCTGTGATGTAGGCCAAAAGGCTTGGTGACACGCTTGCCCACTGTATATATTCCCCTCCTATGACACAGTGGCCATTAATCATTTCCCTTATGATGTGCATACAGTACTGTTTTGGGGGGAAAAACAAGTACCACACAGAAAACTGTACTATGCATTTGTATGTATACAGTCATGCTATTTAATTTTACGTAGTGCAAAAACATTCTGCGAAAAGTAAAAGCAGAATAAATAATGCCAGATTAAAGCAATCATTCTAAATCACCTGATGTTCTATTCATTATTTTCAAACACAAAACTGCTTTATAAATAGTTGTAACTCACTGTTTTGTTTTTGTAAAATAAAACAGCCCTTCATTGAAAGGAAATTAATAGATATATTTGTATTTACAAAACAATTATACCATAATATAGAAACATAAAAATACATAGTTGAATTTTTATTTATTTTTCATGTATTCTTTAGATCTCACAGCAGAACAATAAGTATAACCAGACATACAGACAAGTGTAGGAGAAATTATTCATACAAATATAAATTTTTCTGGCATCTTTAAGCATAACATCTTTGTACACATGGAATTGGTTATACTACTTTACCACACCATTGTTGTCATCCATTTTCAGTAAATCAGACATACACTAGGCTTCTTTGTAAGCATTGTATCTCCCATCAGTTGTTTTGTTATGTGTACTAGTGCAAGCTATTTAATATATAGGAACAGCTGTACAACACAAACACATCAATGTATAAATAACCCTCATTTTTATTTTTCTAAATGTGCATACTCCATTAATGCGGCGCTCACCCTGCATTTTTTACTCAGTGTTTTCTAACAACCCCTCTAACACAATATCCTAAGGACACTCCAAGCACTATACCAACTCCTATGTGCAGTGGGAGATTATAGAGCCTCCAGTAATGTGCAGAGTGTACTGGGAGATTACAGAGTGCCGCGTGTACTGTAGAGAACAATTAAAACTGACATTTTTCAATTATACATTAAAGCAGGGTTCTCCAAACTTGGGCTCTCCAGATGTTGCTGAACTACAACTGCCATAATTTTCTGGATATCTACGTCATACAAAGAATCATGGAAGTTGTAGTTCAGCAACATCTGGAGAGACAGAATTTGGAAAACCCTGTATTGAAAGGATTATTCCAACCACCATGGCATCTTCGGTGATTTGAAGTAGTCATGGTAGTAGGATCCTGAATGTGTAGTGTTTCTCCATTTTGAATTCTGCCTGGCTGAAACAATACAATAATCGTTAGCTATTACATAAGAAGTCACAGCCAGCTACCGTATTATGTTTTCATATTTACCGCGATCATTAGATGTTACTTTAAAGGTCGCAGCCAGTCGCCGTATTTTGCCTTCAGATACTTAGTGATAAGGCATGTTCAATGTGCTTTGTATTATTAAAGAATGTCTGATTCATTGTCTCTTTACCGCCTCCATTTTATACCATTCTATGTTTGGGGGCCAAATAATTTCTCAGTACTGCAAATTACTGGTTGCTCTGTAATACCCCAGTAGACATTAACACAACCCCATATGATAGAGACCAGCACTAATGAGGGCCCCGTTTACATAGCACCATTCAAACACTTACATTAATATTATGTAGAAAACTGATGTAATTGGGCTAATATAAGCATAGTTATCCACACTGCTCTGCCTCCCATATCGCTGGAATTACCACTTGTATATCTGGTCAAAAGCTACAAACTAGCCGGATAGTTATTTAATTTCTATAAAATAAAAAGAAAATAACTACTTAAATATGATCATCAGACAGTATAGATTGTATTTTGTTTATATGGCCTTTATGATGATGCCTAGACTATTTCTGATGACACAGATCAGTTAAGGGAAACTATGGGGTAAAATATGGCTCCTATTTTAACATATCGAAAAAATAATAAGAAAAAAAAAACAAGTATAACAGCCAAAATAGATGGCATTTTATCAATCCATATTACTATATTCATGGTTATTTTTAAACATTGTGTTAACATTTTATACTGGATTACAGTACCACATTTAAATGATAATAAATAGGTTGTCCAGGTGCACCTGGCAATAAGCCATTTGTGTTGGATAAAGAGTGTCTTCGGAGTGAAAACGAAAGTGGTGTGTGACTTCACCAGAACAAGACATGCAGTTTACAGTCCAGCACCTATGGATTGATCATTAGGAAGATTACATTTCAGAAAATAAAATAAACAAAACCGATATTGGGAAAAATTACCATTTTATTTAATTCATCTTGGATTTTAAAGTAACACTCTGCTGAATTTCATTTATTTATAACTATTTAGTAGATCTACACTCAAAGAAAACATGATTGTATTTTCCCCTCCATGTTTTTTCATGTCTCTGAAATCTTCTATTGAAAAAAAAAAAAAAAATCCAACAAAAATAAAATTCACTGTATAGTAGATGTACAGATATAGATATATAAAAACCATGTATGCATTTTTTCCATTGGGGGTACACTGTTTGAAAAAGCCTTATCTGAAGCCTCTGCATGCCCTCACCTTTTAACCCAGCTCAGACTTTCTATGACTGTCCAATTACAGACTTCCCAATACAGCTCAAGTCTTTGCAAGGCATGTGCTCTGGGCAATATATCCACTGAGCTGAGCAAACCGCAAGAAACATGGGGGGTGGGGGGTGGTGCAACAAGGTTAGTTAATTTATAAAATTGACATTTTATTGAAATCTGCAATTTTTGCAAAATAGAAAATAATAAAACGGGACACACTACACACATAATGCTCCAGGGGTCTGGAGTGTCCCGTTAAGTATATCAATAACACACATATATACATTTTGAACTACTTGGAAACGGTTCTCTCTCCATATCAAAATATTTTATATGTATTCCTAAGTGTTTTACCCGTTCACTAGTTTACATGCAGGGGATATCTAGAATTTGACAATGTTTTACTAATTAGAAACCTTTTTTCATCTAAGACGTGCTTGCATATAATGTTTTAGGTCTTGGTAAAATGTTTGTAAAATAAAATTATGAGTAAACTTCAGTATCATATATTCACTAAACACTGATTTGAGCAACATCTAGGCCAAAATAGGACTATATGGAGGGAATGGGAGCTAACTCTGATTTGAATGTGTATTTAATATTATTCCCAAATAGTAAAAATGAGTTATTAGGTCATTGTCAATGACAACACTCCTTTCTTTACCTGTAGGCAAATTATGTAATTGGTCCACCCTCTCTAGAGTGCAACAACCACTGAGCCAACTACTTCTATCAAGGAATTTGCCTTATCTGCATTTTTGTGCATCCAAATAGAATATAGCAGCAAGTTTCATCCAAGCAAACAAAAGTACTAATACAACCAAAAAAAAGATACATTGAAATAAAAACAGGATATTTGCTCCAAAATAAAGAGCAAACATGTTTTGTTTTCTTTAATCTTCCTACAGTTTTTCTTGCTCATAGAGCAATTATTTTATTCCATCGACACACTATTAAAACAGACATTTACTTTGAAAGTGCCAAGTTCTTACACTGGAGTTTATCCATTTCTTGACTAATATTTCCTTCAACTGTGTCACACTGGGCAAGGAGACCCTAAAAACAAAAATGACAGGCACATTAGATTAATTCAATATATTACAAGGGGTAGTAAGCACCATAAACATTACAGTGCGCGGTAGTATTTTCAGTGTCAGGAGTCCCCTGAAGCTGACCCAATATAAGCTACTACAAAATAATACAAAAAACTGATAAGTTACTAACCTGAACTTTTTTGACTAATCCTTTTCTTTTCATTCTACAGTCACTAAAATTGTCTGGCATGGTCTGTAATAAAAGAAAGAAAAGAAAATAAGAATTAAAGTCCGATTGAGTCAGTTTAAGCATACACTAAATACCAATGTAAAAGAACAGCTCAGCTGACAAACAAAAAAAAAAATACGTTTAAAAGAACACTAGAATCAGCATAACCACTACAAATATATAAATCATATATTCATAATACATAAATAATAAATATAAATACCCTTAATCTCTAACTTAGATAGCTATTAATGCAGTGGTACACATCAAGTTATCTGTATAAAATAGTCAAGCAATCGTGCTATAAGTAACAAACATAATATATTAGATGCAACAGACTACGGTAATTAATAAACAGTCCAATATTGTCTGTACAAATTCCTTGATTCAGATGTTCCCTTGGATAATGGTACTCCATAGTGGAAATGAATATATGTAAAGATGCAGAGAAAAAGTAAATAAATTAGTTGATCTTAATATCAGCAAAAATTCATACGATGCAATCCAGATTATAAAAAGTAAAAAAAGGGCTTTATTTGAGTCTTAGCTCTCAACTAAAAATCAATGTAAAAAATCTCACAATAAAAAAATTCAAATAAAATGCTGCATAAACAGACCCCATTTGCAAGTGTCTGTAAGCAGGTTCACAAAATGCATACTAGGGGTCGACCTTTTGTTGCTCAAGGCGTCCCGGATCAGCAGTTCAGATATTGTATTGCTGGATGCAGTAAAGGCAGATGTGTCCTAGATTCTGGCTTTTAGTGATCAGCAGTCAGTCCCTCCAAATGCGTTTCTCCGTAACAACGGCTTTCTCAATGGATATGGACTCTATGGCATTTTGTTGCTTAGTTTTTTTTTTCCCCCAAACCCTTTACATACAATGACAGCCTGAAGTCTGCAGATCATGGCCGTTGGTGGGGAGAGGGCAAGAGGTGGACAGTGATCTATCACCCCAAAATTAATACATTTAAAGTCCCACACTCAATGGAAAGAGGGAAAAATAAAAATTAAATAAATACAAAAATATTGGTGCTTGGGAAATATTCCAGATCCTATACTTTGTTTGGAGTTCAGATACAAAAAGCACAGAATACAATCTTAGCTGATGGAGATCTGACTGAATTCTTGCAAGAATGATCTTTAGGAAAATGGAGAATTACCATTCCGGTTGGAATTAGACATTTTCACCACATTTTGTTTTCATTTGGACAAAATCCGATCTTCATTGATTTACCATGCTAAATTTGCTTTGCATAGTGCAATGGCATCTAATTATGGACTAGTTCTGCTTTCATAGGTGGCTTTTGTCTGGTCTCTTACTTCTGGGACTAGGTTATATGATGGACTTGTTCAGTCAGGTACATTCCAATTTGGGCCTAACACATTCCTAAAGCAAGGGCGTGAAGCTTTCAGTTTTGAGGCAGGTCCATCATCAACCAAATATATCCAAGCAGTATCATTACATACATGTTCTAGAGATAAGGCAAATTAGTATGAGTTTTGTGCAAATTTCATTTTCTCCACTTTTCATCAGTCTGATCTCAAATCTTTCTGTTTGTACTTTGTTCCATAACTCTTAAGTTTTCCTTAGTCTGGAAACAGCACAATTACATGTGGGATCTTTGTATTTGTTCCTCAGATATAACCAAAATGAGACATTGTAACTTGCAAAGTGGTTGAAAGGATATGAAATACCATATATACTTGAGTATAAGTCGACCCAAATATAAGTCGAGACCCCTACTTTTACCCCAAAAAACTGGGAAAACTTATTGACTCAAGTATAAGACTAGGGTGGGAAATGCAGCAACTATTGGTAAATTTCTAAATAAAATTATATCCCAAAAAAATTATATTAACTGAATATTTATTTACAGTGTTTGTATATAATGAATGCAGTGTGTGTGTGTATGAGTGCAGTGTGTGTGATGCAGAGCCTTGGTGGGAGGTGGGCATTTTTATTATTATTATAATATATTTTTTGTTACCGTATATACTCGAGTATAAGCCGACCCGAATATAAGCCGAGGCCCCTAATTTTACCCCCAAAAACTGGGAAAACTTATTGACTCGAGTATAAGACTAGGGTGGGAAATGCAGCAGCTACTGGTAAATTTCTAAATAAAATTAGATCCTAAAAAAATTACATTAATTGAATATTTATTTACAGTGTGTGTATATGATGAATGCAGTGTGTGTGTGTATGAGTGCGCAGTGTGTGTGTATGAGTGCGCAGTGTGTGTGTGTGAGTGCGCAGTGTGTGTGTGTGAGTGCGCAGTGTGTGTGTGTGAGTGCGCAGTGTGTGTGTGAGTGCAGTGTGTGTGTGTGATGCAGTGCCTTGGTGGGGGGTGGGCATTTTTATAAAAAAATAATAATAATATTATTATTTATTATTTAAAAATTTTTGGTTATATTATTTTTTTATTATTATTTATATTTATATATTAATTAATATTATTTTAATTTTTTTGTTATATTATTTTTTTGTTATATTATTTTTTTATTATTTTTATTATTTATCTATTTTTTTTGTCCCCCCTCCCTGCTTGATACATGGCAGGGAGGGGGGCTCTCCTTCCCTGGTGGTCCATTGCATTGGAAGTTCAGTGGGGGGAGGAGGGGGGCTGGCAGAGCTGTTACTTACCTCTCCTGCAGCTCCTGTCAGCTCCCTTCTCCTCCGCGCCGGTCCGTGCAGCTCCTCTGTCAGCTCACACTGTAAGTCTCGCGAGAGCCGCACTATGACCCCGCGGCTCTCGCGAGACTTACACTGGGAGCTGACCGAGGTGCTGACCGGACCGGCGCGGAGGAGGAGGGAGCTGACAGGAGCTGCAGGAGAGGTAAGCGCTCGCTGCCAGCCCCCAGTCTGTATTATGGCAATGTAAATTGCCATAATATAGACAGTGACTCGAGTATAAGCCGAGTTGGGGTTTTTCAGCACAAAAAATGTGCCGAAAAACTCTGCTTATACTCGAGTATATACGGTATATTATTAATATTTTATTTTTATTTTATTATTTAATTTTTATTTTTTTTGTCCCCCCTCCATGCTGGTTAGCTGGCCAGGGAGGGGGGCTCTCATTCCCTGGTGGTCCAGTGGATGGGCTGTGTAGGAGGGGGGCTGGCAGCGGGCTGTAACTTACTTTTCCTGCATTTCCTGTGAGCTCCCTTCTCTCTCCTCCGGTCAGGTCATCTCCCCTGTCAGCTCCACTGCAAGTTTCGCGGTCTGGGTGCCGGGCGGAGCGTTGCCACGGTAACCCGTGGCAATGCTCTGACCCCGCGGCTCTCACGAGACTTACAGTGGAGCTGACGGACCGGAGGAGAGAGAAGGTAGCTGAAGGAGCTGCAGGAAAGGTAAGTTACAGCTCGCTGCCAGCCCCCAACAGGACCGCCGGGCTTTTAATGAGCCCGGCGGTCCTGGTCTGCATTATGGCAATGTAAGTTGCCATAATACAGACAGTGACTCGAGTATAAGTCGAGTGGGGGTTTTTCAGCACAAAAAATGTGCTGAAAAACTCGACTTATACAGTAGTTAACTCTTTTTGCTTTATATGCTTTAAAATAATGTTTTTAATAATTATGCTGACCTTGGCAGATGTATTCTGTAACATGCTCTGAGGGGCCTCCCTTCTGCAGGATGTATGACCTCACTCGACCTCAGGATGGTCCCGTTCTGTCTTTATTCAAATGCTTATCTTCTACTGCTACACAAGTATGTACTATTAACTATAAGGAAGTGATAAATCTCGCTGCTTGCATGACAAACTGTGTATAAATGCTAGCTTTGAAAATATACTCATTGAGAACTTGTTAAGCACTCTTTCGTGTCTGTGTCTTTATTGCTAAACAAGAAGCTCCCATCAATTGATGTGGTGACCTGAGATCCGAGAACTGAGGGTGTCCAGAGAAGTCGTTTAACCTTTCAGCTTGGTGTCAGAAGTGGGACACAGCAGGACCATTTGCGGGTGAGTAGCCCTTTTGTGTCTTATTGACGCTGATTGTCTATGACCCCATTTGGTTCAGTAAGTCTGTATCCAGTAGAAAGGAAAGGTGTAAGGACTTTAGTTATATTGAGACTGTAAATAGGTCTCCGGTTTATTAGACATTTGGTCTAAATATATAGGGTTTTGGTAACCCAGGTTAGTATCTAAGATAGATACAGGTTTTGAGACCATAAGAGGTCTCCGGTTTATTAATACTACAGGTGTTCTGAGGAGCATGGTTTATAGATCTATAAATATACCCCAAACTTCTCTTTCTCCCGGTCACCTTTGTTTGTCTTAAGTGTTCTTTGTGGGTGACTGTCTATATTGGGGACACACTTTGGAAAGTTAGTAGTGGGTTCGCCCTGAGTCAGCAGTATGGGAAATGTGAGTTCAGGTCCTGAATGATATAGATATTAGCAGTACTGTATATTAGAAAATAACTGACTCGCAGGTTGTACCTGATAGACCTACTTAAGTCTTTTGCTTTATTCTTTATGTCGCATAGAAGTATAAGCTTATTACTCTGTTTTATTGTAAGTTATTTCACATGGGATCTGTGTGCCTGGTATGATTGTTACTTTAATACCATAAGCCCACTACACTTTCTATGAGATTGGGATAGTGTAAATGTGTTACATTGTTTGCATGATGAGCTCAGTATTTTTATACTGAGACAAAAAGTCACTTCATTAGTATTTGAAAGTTAATTCCCCGTATGGGATTAATTGTAAAGAACACCAATCAGCACATCTTCCCTGCCCTGTGTGTTTATTGCAGAGGATCCATACTGTAAATATACTCATTGAGAACCTTTAAGCACTCTTTCGTGTCTGTGTCTTTATTGCTAAACAAGAAGCTCCCATCAATTGATGTGGTGACCGGAGATCCGAGAACTGAGGGTGTCCAGAGAAGTTTTACCTTTCAGTGGTGTCACGGGAGAGGACAAACAAAGATACCTGAAGGTCTGCCTCCTAGGTGCCAACAACTTCTGGATCAGCTGTCTCTCCGCTGCTTAAGTGGTATACCACTGCTCACAAGGGAGAGTATAAATGTGGGCTTGTAGAAAATCCTGCAATACCCTCCATGCATGATTTTGGTCACAAGCAATGAGATGCCATAAGAATAAGCATCAAGCCTTCCATTATTTTTCTTGCTCTTCTTACACTGAACTATTGGTGTGTTCCTTTCATTACTCCTCATATTTGTAATATTAGTAGGGTTATTTACTAAATTGTAAAAAAAAGTGAATTCAAGGTAAATTTCAAATTAAAAGGCTAGAGTACCTGAACTGCATGCATAGATGACCTTACTCACCATGGCATCAATCTGTTCAAGTATTTTCATGAACTGCTCCACAGTTGACTTTATTCTCTTGTCAAGTTTACCAAGTGCTTCTACTTGAAGAGTTTTATTAAGGAAACCCTGTAAAATGAAAACATTTGATTACATATATCTGTTGCACGGACACTGTGTGCTTCATAGAACTGTTGAAAGGCGCACACAATGTAGCAGAGCAATTTAGGAGGTATCTTTCTTTTTCATTTGCTCCCCCTTCCAAATAATGAAACCCATAGACAATTACAGTCAACTATTAAACATGGAAGTTATACAGTTGTACTCTACAGTAGGCAGTACTATAATATGTAGACAGTATACATTTATTTCTTAAAATGCAGAGATACATTTAAACTATATCATAAATCACATAACAAGTACCCTTTAAAACAAATTAACTGTCATTATAAAGTAAAATGTATAATGTGAGCTTGTTATCCCAATAAAATTGACGAAGGAAACACCATGTTATTACAGACAACAGACCTTCTGAATTCCTGAGAGCTCCTTGTTAACATCATCCAGTTTGGTTGCCATCTGTTCAACAGACTTTTCCAGATCTCGCAGTTTTTTTAGTTCTGAATCCTCTTCTGGACAGTTCTGTTAAAACACAAACAATGTTGGCTATATTAAGCACTTGTACATCACTACGGAGTACTGGGATATCTCTAAAAGGCAGAGCTTCCAGCTGCAGAAAAGGTGGGGTGGGCACCTGGCTGGCAAATCATTAAAGTGTGCTCTAGTAGTTATGGTGTTGGAGTGTTCCTTTAACAATATCAGATTACCAAAGTTAAGTATCTAATGTAGATTATAACAGATCACCCACTAGTGCTATATGCCAAACAGTTTTTTTAAAATGCATTGTTGTAAATATAACATTGTTGTGCAGGTGTATAAAATGTATTCTTAATGCATGCAAGAAAAAACAAAAAAACCAACAATGGAAATCTGAAAACATTTCCAATATTAAAGTTTCTACTCGAAGGACCCATGACATTGCAATTAAGTGTCAAAGTACGCATTCGGTAAGTTGGTTAGCCCAGCACTTGTAGCCAATGTCATCCAGGCTGGAGGAAATTGACAATGTGTTTTTGAAAATGGGGCAGTTCATGGGCACCAAGAACTCTGTCGGTTTATGTGAAAACATTACTAAAACGGTTTCATATCAAACCGATAAACAGTACTCCGGGCAACGTAACTACAGAAAGCTGTAATGGTTATGTGACTTAATGTGCCCGATAAATACAGTTATGGAAACCAAGTTGTCAGAAAGCAAATACATTATTACCTTTTTCCCAATTAACATGACCTTGCAGCCATTTTTGATGCCCAATGATGACAATGTCTGCTCCATTTCTTTAAGAGATTTCCCTTAAATAAAAGAGGAATAAAAAGTTAAAAATACCCCACCACAATGATTAATACAATTAAGTGGATACTTCTTGAGATCTGGGTGTGTCCATTGAGAACGATGTTGCATGGCAAGAGCATTAAACCACATACTTGGCTAAAATCTAGTGTATACAATTATCAACTCCGCAATAATTCCTTTCCCATCCAGACCTCAAAAGGTTTATATTTTGTTTCAGAATAAGCTTGCATGAAAGACAGCATTGTGACAATAAAAGCAATACTAGAAGGTAGAAAAAAAATAGCTTAATGGAAAGGGAAACAAAGCTTCATTTTAGATGTGCAACACTCCAACAAGGTGCTCTACACAATGGGTGCACATGATGCATCATCTAAAGTTAAAATCATCCTTACATAACCTGTTCTTGCCTGTTATGTTTTATTTTATTTTCTGTCTTCTCTCAGATGGTGACCTGATGGATCAGCCCATCGCCCTCTGCAGTCATGCTTTTAGGTCTCTTCTATTTTCCTCATTAGAACGCAAGGAGTTATATATAAAAATTTTGCCTTTCTGGCTGTTTTTCTGGTGCTTTTCCCATTTGCAACAATATATTCCTTACTGTGCCTCTACAGTCACTTTTTTTTTTTTCCCCATTTCATTTTGATTCTTTAATTTTTTCTCACAAATGGTCTTTTACCGTGTATAAAAACAGGGGCAAAAGTGTGCCTTTCCTTTCCGGCAAATATTTCCAACAATGTCAGAGTTTTCGGCTTTCACAGTCTTCTTCAATGTTTAAAGGGGAACTGTCATTTTGCAGGATTTTTTTATATTCTGTTGAATGATCAACAGTATTCCTCAAAAACCCCATTGCATTTCTTGATCACATTTCCCAATCTTCTTATTGGGGGTCCTAACAGCCTACCGACTCAGTTCCATTCTATACAGAATGTTTTTGCTCAGCTTATTTTCCTCCCTTAACCCTGTAACTTTTCAAAACCTGCAGTCAACAATGATACAAAAATCATGAGCCCATTATTTTTTTTTTATGAATATCCATATTTTGATCATTTTGTCTGTGTATAGAGGGAATGTACTTGAAATACACCTCCCAAATTTATTTTAACAGAATTTACTGGAAAATATTAATCTGAAATGTCACTGAATTTTTTTGGTAAATTTCTTTTATTCAGAGAATTTCCATTTTATGTGAAACTGTTAATGTGGACACGCAGGTCCGATAATGATTCTTTCCATTTACTTCTCAAACATGAAATAGGTTTGTAGAACAACCATGGTGGCATGCAAGTCACCCAATAGTATTAAGAAACAAATTCCAGTTGGACTCGCAGGTCCTAAAACATTTGTGTGGACGGGACGTTCCCCCTAGCATACGGTTGTTATAGCTAAGCTGAGCCACCCATTGTGGCAGGGGTGATTCGCGTCCTGTTTCAAGACAGATAGCGTGTAATTACTAACCGCGTGAGGGAGAGTCAGAACGTTGTACATGCCTTGCGGTTTCAGACCTAAGGTCTTTGGTGTCAGTGGGGTAGTCCACTGCTGATCTGGCTTGGGTGGTGGTAGTTTGTTCTATCGTAACCTTAACTGCTATCCAACTCCTGTTTTGACATGGGTGCAAGGTTGAGCTTGTTTCTACTTGTCTGAAATTTTACTGAATTTTAGTAAGCATTTTTAATGTTAGGATGTAGTAATAAGAAATTACCTTTGAATATTAATTTCTGAGATGCAATTGGAACACCTGTGACTTGTTCCACAGACAATGCCATGTCTTGCACAGTAGGCTCATCATTTTCTTCCTGACCAACCAATTGGAGCTTGTGTTTCTCACTGCCTGAACAGGGAAAAACAGATATAGGTTAGCAAAATTATGTAGAAAAAGGTACATAAGCGAATACATCAAAGAACTTACAGATATACAGTGTACTGTGATCTCTGAAAACTATTGGTTTGTCATTTAGAAAACCAGGGTTTACATTTCAGTATTCAGTTATGGAGAATCATGGTATGTTATCCACTAAACTCTGCATGGCAGTATATGAAATCTTAGCTTGTAATAGCTGCATAGCTGCAGATATATCAGCTACTGCGACTCCTCCCCTTCTAACCCAGCACAGACTTTCTCATCTGTGCCAGGAAATGCCTAATCAGAGGCTTCTCAATGAAATGCCTTGCAGAGTAGCAGTGCTTGTCAGTCACAGTTTTCTCAACAGGAAGTCTTTCAATCGCAAGCACCTGTCTTGAGTTTAGCTCCATATAACTAGACTAAGAGGAATAAACATGCGCTGTAGCTGTTGTGACAGAGAACAGAAGAGCCAACTGTAGTAGTGTTCTCTTGCTTTCTCCTGCCATGGAACTGACCTTTAAAGATAAGAATTGAATGACATGAGAGGGTAGAAGCCATTTCTTTGCATGGTTCTCTCAGAAAATCTATACATTTGTTAGCCTGCTAGCACAGTGTCTAGGTGAAATGTTGTGGGCTTTCATTTTATAAAGTAGTGTGTAAATTGATATGTGCACTTTAAGATGTTTCACGGCATGGGTATTTGTAGTTTATGACGGCATTTTTAGTATTAGTGTATTTTTTAAATGACTGCTTAGTATACATTATTATTATTGAACTTTGTATTTATTTCTCTGAATAATTTTAAATCGCTAGCTACACAATGCATAGAAAATAATGGGTTTGATCCAATCTGTACTGTGTATTTAACTGGCTTACTTATCGCATCTGATACCAAATTAGGTTTGAGCAAAGCCGGGCAAAAACTAGCAAGATGATGCATTTTAACTAGCAGTGGCCTCAATTTAATGTTGTTAATAAAGTTCCCTCACAGACAGGTTTTGCAGAATTTGTATAAACCTATTAAAGTTTGGGGTCATGATAGTTCCTGCCACTAGACAGCATGCATTGCATTCTTTAAATTATACTAGAGTCCGATGGTCCTGGTCAGCTGTATGTAAAGTAAGAAAAGGCTCAGGATGCTTGAGCCAAAAATGTCCCCTGATATACCAACTGGCAGTGGTGCCATCTGATGAAGAAGGAGAATGATCATGCAGTGTGGGGATACATCATTTGTTAACTGTTTAACCCCCTTAAAGCAAGACGCTCCCCAGACTTCCTCGCACCATAATAACTTCATTAGGATAAGGTTTTCATGGTTACCAGAGAGGTCCTCTAAAAGTTAAATACCAAAGCAAGCCTAGAGGCTCCATGGCACACTCACTAGGCATACATTTTCATTTACTCATTGCTATTGGTGATTAAAAATTTGTATATAAGAGGAATTGTTACATATTGCACTATTATTGTACTTTGTGTTTTCTAGCATTCAGGGTTGTATTCTGAACCAGTATTGTAAGTGTAATATTACTATCTATTCTTGAATCACTTTTTTTTGGTACATAAAAATAAAATATCCTAGTGTGATTTTTTTTTTTTTTTTCCATTGATTTTTTTTAAATAACTTGCTAGTTTACCTTTCATCAGATGACTTCACTACAGTCCCCATTAAGATGAAGACATACATTTTAATTGTGATTAGTCAACCAGGATTGCACTTGCTGAGCAGTATTCTGCCAGGGATATAGTTTGGCTCAGGTATGCAACATATTGTGCCAGTCCAGCCGCCTGCACTATTATAGGATGCATTTGTAACTTACAGGATCCCAAGGCAATGGCTCAAGGTAGAACAAAGCTAGGGTGTTTATTAGTGACTAAGATAGCAGCCTATGGAAATCTTTTTCTCCTCTTCAGCATTACAATTCCTGAATAGTAATTACATTTTTGCAATCATCCAATATAACCCTCTGAATGTAAGAGAGGTGTACTGCTAGTAAACACAGTACAGTCATTAGTATAAACACAGTGAACATGGTGCAGTATTGATACAAGGCTCACACTGATAACCATAGAGTCTGATGGCTCACACACATTGTGCCATGCAGGGGATATGTCACCCTAAATATTACAACCCGCCTTATTACAATCTGCCACAGGACTCAGCCATTCAATGATAAGCCTCTATACACAGGAAGCACATGGACCCCCTGTATCACCTAGTGCCATCACTGACTGCAGGAATATTACCATGGGTGAGGGTGACAGCCAATCCACTGCTCGAACTCATGCTCTGTGAGTGTGGGAGACACTTCTTACAAAGGTGTCCAACTGCAGCTGTCACACTCACTTCCGCAGCGGACGTCACATCCGGTTCTACGTCATTAGTTTTTCTACTGGACGTGCGGCTGCCATCTTGGTTTAGGGAATCGATGCCCTCACTTGTTACCAATAGTGTGTACCTGCTGCACACCAAGGGCAGGTCACCACACTGTCACATGACCTTCAGAATGAGCAGTTTTAGTAAGGGGAAAACATGTCTATGGGCTTTACTCTACACCTTCTTTAACTGACTGGGGCTTGGGGGCAAAAGAATAATGTAATAGGTTTTAAATTGCAAATGTGTGTCCCTAATTACAGGGAGTATAGTCTGCATTTTTGTAGGATTCTCTATAATGTATCATATTGTACTAATGTTTGTATTTTTACAAGATTGCCCTTTATACAGTCTTATTATACTCTAAGCACCATAACCACTACAGTGGGGTCCCCTGGTACTCTCCCGGGGTAAGCTGTTTGACGCCTGGCTCTGTTGGACAGTGCTTCTAAGCTGTGACCAAGAAACAGGGGTGTGAATTTTTTTTATTTATTTATAAAATATTTTACCAGGAAAGATACATTGAGATTTCTCTCGTTTTCAAGTATGTCCTGGGTCCACAAATCATTGCATTGTTACATTAGGTACAACAAAATACAAAACCAATATTAATACACAATATATAAAAAATTTAACATAGAACAGGCAGGAAATATATAATCAACCATTACACGTGCATTCTGTTTTGAGGTATGTAGAGAGGGATCTCTTAAATGACTTTAGGCTTAGGGAAGATTTTAAATTGTGCGGGAGGTCGTTCCACAATTGAGGTGCTCTGTAGGAGAAGGAGGATCGGGCCGCTTTCTTTTTGTATTGAGGTAGACTAAGTAAAGTGTTGGTACTGGATCGGAGCTTATAGAAAGTGGGAACAGCTGGGAAAAGCATTTTCTTCAGGTAGGGTGGGAGTTTCCCAGAAAAGCTCTTAAAAACAAGGCTGGAAAGATGAAGGGTGCGTCTGGATTCCAGCGATAGCCAGTTTAGTTCTTTTAACATGTCACAATGGTGGGTCCTGTAATTACATTGTAGCACAAATCGGCAGAACGAGTTATACAATGTGTTGAGTTTATTAATGTGGGATTGCGATGCAGATGCATATACTACATCCCCATAATCAATGATTGGCATCAGCATTTGCTGTACAATCTTTTCCTTTACTGTAGGGCTTAGGCAGGCTTTGTTTCTGTACAGGGCACCGAGTTTTGGATAAAGTTTAGATGCGAGCTTTTCTATGAGCAGGCCAAAAGATAGATTGGGGTCTAATATCATTCCCAAGTATTTAAAAGAGTGGACTGCGGTCAGTGTGCCATTTGAATTTGTTTTGATGGATAGGTGGGAATTGTGTAATTTAGATACTGTTCAAAAAGATCATTGTGACAGTTTTGTCAGTGTTCAGGAAGAGTTTGTTTTTTGCGATCCACTTTTCTACCTCTGTAAACTGGTCTTGGAGCACAGCCTCAAGTTGCGGTAGATTGGATTTGCTCGCATAGATTACCGTGTCATCTGCGTACATGTGTACATTTGAGGATTGGCAGACCATTTATAAATAATGTAAATAGTAGGGGGCCGAGAATGGAACCCTGGGGAACACCACACGTGACTGGGAGAGGGAGGGAGTCACTGTCAGAAATGGACACATATTGCGAGCGATCCGATACATACGATCGAAACCAGTTTAGAGAATGATCACCAATACCTGAGTTTTTGAGTTTGTGCAGTAGAATGTCGTGGTCTACTGTGTCAAAGGCCTTAGCAAAATCAAGGAAACTAGCTCCAGTTAGGGCTCCTTGTTCCATGCCAGTTTGGATGTCATTGCAAACTTTTAGGAGGGCAGTTGTAGTGGAGTGATTCTGGCGGAAGCCCGATTGATCAGGGGTCAGATAGTTTAATTGTTGGTAGTACTCACAAAGTTGCGTATGGACACATTTTTCTAAGATTTTTGACAATACCGGGAGCAATGATATTGGGCGATAGAAACCAAAGTAGTGTCACCACTTTTATGGATAGGCACTACTCTCGCAGTCTTCCAAAGTTTGAGTATGTATCCAGACAAGGATTCGTTAATTAGAGTTGAGACGGGTTTAGCAATTGCCGGCGCACTGAGCTTCAACAGCATTGCTGGGATTTGATCAGGTCCGGACTGGTTTTTCATTTTTAGATTATTAAGATGTTTTTTAATGACACTAACAGGTACAGGTCTAAAATTATACTTATCTATATTGGGCCTTTGCAAATTTAGTGGGGCCTGATCCACCTTTGTAGTTTCAGGATGCGTGTCATTTATTAGCTTGGCAATCAGGGCAGTGGAGCATCCGACAAAATAATTGTTAAAGGCATTTGCTACATCTAAGGGAAGTTGCAGGGTTTGGTTACCCACTTTGACAGTGGAGGGTTGGGAGAGGATTGGGGGAGTTTGTAGTTTATTTATGACTTTCCAAAAGTTTCTAGGGTTTGAGATGTTACTGTTCAGATTTTCATAGAAATATTGGGCCTTGGCCAGTTTTGTATGTTTTGTGCATATATTTCGCCATTGTCTATATGCACCGTGATCATTCATAGAGCCAGTACGCTTAAACTTTGACCACAAAGAATCCCGAAACTGGTACATTTGGATGAGGTCAGCTGTGATCCAGTTCATATGTGCTCCTTTTACCCTCACCTTACGCAGCGGGGCATGCAAATTCCAAATTTGTAGGAGTTCAGACTGAAAGTATTCAACAGCACAGTCTAGATCTGGGATAATGTTTAATCTGTGCCATGAGAGATTCTTGATGTAATTTAAAAAGGATTCAAGATTAAATTTTTTGAAGGACCTAGTTATTTTAACCTTGGGAGAGGATTTAATAGCCTTTATTTTGCGCACGCAGTACACTAAACAGTGATCACTGAACGTGTTTGGCAGAACAACAACCTCCTGGATTCTATCAGGAGAAGTGGAGAGAATCCAATCTAGCAGGGTATGGTTATGGCTTTTAATGTTTATGCGAGTTGGGGAGGAGATTAATTGCGTTAGCTGCAAAGTCTTAAACAGCGTGCAAGAACTATTATTTTTAGGGTTCAGCCAATCAATATTAAAATCTCCAAAGACCAACAGTTCACTTTTTGGGTTTTGAGCTATGGTTTCACTAAGGAGATGGGCTATGCCAGAAAGGGAATGCACAGGGGAGCTAGGTGGGCAGTAGATTCCTGCAACAATGATTGATTTACTGCACGGGATCTCAATTATGCCAGAAAGGAAATCAAAGGTGGCAGGAGGACTAAGGTTTTGTAAAGGGGTAAACTTTATGGAATTGTCAACATAAATGACAATGCCTCCTCCTCTCTTTGCTCTGTCATTTTTAAAACATGAATAACCCTGTATTGCAATGGCGGTGTCTGGTATTTTAGTCGTTAACCATGATTCTGAGAGCACAATGATTTTTGGTTTGTAATGGGAACACCAGGCTTGCAGTGCATCCAGTTTAGGGAGTAAACTACGGATGTTGCAGTGCACAAAAGAGAGGCCTTTTTTAGTGGGGAGATTAGGACTAGAATTAGCTGGGGGACCAGGGTTAGACTCCACATCATTTGCAAGGGCAAGTAACATAAGGAGTAGGAATTTGGACATCATCTTTGTTTGGCCATATAGTGAATGGGATAATTTATAATTTTGTGAGGTGGGGGTAGGAGGGCTATTTTTTATAACTCTCCACCAGCACTCAGCAGATAAGTTAAAGGAACAGAGCAGGCCATGGTGTATTGTAATTTGTGTTCCAGTTTGAGGTGCGTGCTTATGCTGGTAGTGGTGTGAACAAAATTGGATTGAGAAAAGGGTTATTAAGAATAACAGTATGGTTATATTAGGATTCATGTTAGTGGTATGAGGTGTGTAGTTGAAAATGAAACAGAAATTGTGAGAGAATTTTTTTTTAAATAGAAGTATATGGTTTTGGTGTGTGATATATCTATTTGTAGTGAGAGAGGGTATGTGTTCTATAGGGTTAAGAGATTGAAAGGTGTGCACTCAATTCCCATACAATATGTATCTCGGTGCAGCCAGGCCGGTCCCAGTACCAGGAACCAAATACTTGGAAATGCAAAAATAGAAGAAGGTCCAGGCACTCCAGAATACAAAAAAAGGCAACTTTTATTAAACTCACAATGTTTCGACCTTGACAAAGACCTTCAGGTCGAAACGTTGTGAGTGGCAGTGGGTTCAATAAAAGTTGCCTTTTTTTGTATTCCGGAGTGCCTGGACCTTCTTCTATTTTTGCATCTCCATGTGCTTCTAAGCTGACGTGTTAACCATACCTCTCAACTGTCCCTGCTTAGGATGGCCAGCAGTGGAGACTCGTCCATACAGTCACTTGGGGCAGAGCCCTACCAGTTTGTATGTGACGAAGATATATTAACAGTAGTTTAGAAACACTAGGATACTTTTTCTGGAAGGGAGGGTGGTAAGCCAAAAATATATGTGGGAAAATTAATGTTTCATAATTCTGTAATAGGTTTTAGTTCTGCAGGGTTTATATGTTTCATTTATAGCTGTTTGGGGGAGCTTACTTGAGATCATTCAGGCATGTCTAAAAAATGGGGCTTGTTTGAAACCTGCCATGTTTCTGCAGATTTTTCACATGCCTAGTGTCCTTTAAGAAGGAATTTCCATTGAGTTGCTATTCTGTCCTCCCTCATCAGGGGTTCTTATTGGCTAATAGCACCATGGAGAGATGTTACAGTGAGAGAGAAGCAAGAAGTCATCTTGGAAGCAGCACACGCAGAGCACAGCAGATCTTGGCTTCTGCCAATTATAAGTATGTAATATTGTCATAGGGCCCCCCGAGGCTGGCAGTGCTGTCAGCGGGCGGGCGTGCGCACGAGGAAGCATTCTCCCCGAGCGCTCTCTGCCCAGCTCCCTCGCGCGCACCGCACTGATGCCGGAGCCGGAATATGACGTCACTCTGGCTCCAGCATCAGTAAGCGGGAGCTGGGCAGGAGGATCAATGCTCCCTCGCCAACTGCAGGACCGGCCGCCCAGCAGCCCCACTGGACCCCAGGGTATCCCCTCAGCACTCTCAAAGGTAGGGAGGCTGGGGGATTAAATTTTAAAAAAAATATGAGTGTGTGTGTGTGTATATGCGTGTTAGTGTGTGTGTGTTAATTTTTGTGTGTCAGTGTTAGTTGTGTGTGTGTGTCTGTTATTGAGTGTGTGTCTGCTAGTGTGTCAGTGAGTGTGTTAGTTTTTCTGTGTGTGTGTTACTGTGTGTTGTGTGTTTGTGTGTCTGCTAGTGAGGGTCAGTGTATGTGTGTTAGTGTGTGTGTCAGTGAGTGTGTTATTGTGTGTGTCTATTACTGAGCGTGTTAGTTTGTGTGTGTCTGTTAGTCTGTTTGGTGTCTGTTAGTGAGTGTGTGTTTGTCAGTGAGAGTGTATGTTTTGTAAGTGAGTGTGTATGTATGTCTGTCACTGAGTGTGTATGTATATCTGTCACTGAGTGTGTGTCTGTCAGTAAATGTGTGTGTCTGTTAGCCAGTGTGTATGCGTCTGTTCGTGAGAGTGTGTGTGGTTAAAACCCCTTCAGCACTTACCTTTCTCCAGCGCCCGGTTCCCTTGGCGCTGGGGAGCTCTCCGCCTCGATCCGCCTCTCAGCTAAACCGCCCATAGAAAAGCATTACTCAATGCTTTCCTATGGACGTCCAGTGTCTCCTCACTGTGATTTCCACAGTGAGAATCGCGGAAGCGCCTCTAGCGGCTGTCAGTGAGACAGCTACTAGAGGCTGGATTAACCCTGCAGCTGAAAACATAGCAGTTTTCTTTTCTCTGAAACTGCTATGTTTTCAGCTGCAGGGTTAAAACTAGAGGGACCTGAAGTGATCTAAGTGCCTATAGTGGTCCTTTAAGTGTGTGTATCTGCATGTAGTGGCGTACATACCGCGGTCACAGCCTTGCGACCAGGTGCCCGCCGCCATGTGTTGCGGCCCTGGCCCGCGCAGAGTAAGCGTGCGGGGGGGGGGTCCACAGATCAGTTTTAGCAGTGGAGGCCCATGGATCGTGTGTACGCCACTGCCGCAGGGAATTAGAGCGCTGGAAGCAATAATGATCACTTCCAGCAGCTCTAGTGGTATTGCAGCGATGCCTCGATGTTGAGGCATCACTGCAATACCCCCTTCACTTACGGTGGCCGCCGGAGAATACCGGGTGATCGCTCCCCCTGGAGCGATCACTTCTGAGTTGTTCCACATAGAGCCAGGCAGTGAGGCAGAGCATCGGAAGCCATCAGGCAGGCTTCTGATGCTATCTCTATGCTAAGCACTCAGGTAAAAAAATATATAAAAAATTTAACCCCTACCCTCCCTCCCTCTCCCATGTACTCACCGATCGCCGCTGTTCTCCTGCCGGCAATCTGTCTTCTTCCGATCTTTCTTATTCTTATCTTAAATATTATTTCATACTAAGTGTGTTTTTTTTTTTTTAATATACATATATATTAATATAAAAGTACACTTAGAGTAAAATTACACACGTATATATATAATATATATAATAACTATATATATTGTTTATATATATATATATATATATTTAAAAAATAAATAATAATTAAAAATAAAAAAAAACTGTAAAAAGTATTTCAAAAAAATTATATATATATACAGTTGCAAGAAAAAGTATGTGAACCCTTTGGAATGATATGGATTTCTGCACAAATTGGTCATAAAATGTGATCTGATCATCATCTAAGTCACAACAATAGACAATCACAGTCTGCTTAAACTAATAACACACAAAGAATGAAATGTTGCCATGTTTTTATTGAACACACCATGTAAACATTCAAAGTGCAGGTGGAAAAAGTATGTGAACCCCTAGACTAATGACATCTCCAAGAGCTAATTGGAATGAGATGTCAGCCAACTGGAGTACAATCAATGAGATGAGATTGGAGGTGTTGGTTACAGCTGCCCTGCCCTATAAAAAAAACACACCAGTTCTGGGTTTGATTTTCACAAGAAGCATTGCCTGATGTGAATGATGCCTCACACAAAAGAGCTCTCAGAAGACCTACGATTAAGAATTGTTGACTTGCATAAAGTTGGAAAGGGTTATAAAAGTATCTCCAAAAGCCTTGCTGTTCATCAGTCCACGGTAAGACAAATTGTCTATAAATGGAGAAAGTTCAGCAGTGCTGCTACTCTCCCTAGGAGTGGCCGTCCTGTAAAGATGACTGCAAGAGCACAGCGCAGACTGCTCAATGAGGTGAAGAAGAATCCTAGAGTGTCAGCTAAAGACTTACAAAAGTCACTGGCAAATGCTAACATCCCTGTTAGCGAATCTACAATACGTAAAACACTAAACAAGAATGGATTTCATGGGAGGATACCACAGAGGAAGCCACTGCTGTCCAAACAAAACATTGCTGCACGTTTACAGTTTGCACAAGAGCACCTGGATGTTCCACAGCAGTACTGGCAAAATATTCTGTGGACAGATGAAACCAAAGTTGAGTTGTTTGGAAGAAACACACAACACTATGTGTGGCGAAAAAAAGGCACAGCATACCAACATCAAAACCTCATCCCAACTGTGAAGTATGGTGGTGGGGGCATCATGGTTTGGGCTGCTTTGCTGCGTCAGGGCCTGGACGGATTGCTATCATCGAAGGAAAAATGAATTCCCAAGTTTATCAAGACATTTTGCAGGAGAACTTAAGGCCATCTGTCTACCAGCTGAAGCTCAACAGAAGATGGGTGTTACAACAGGACAATGACCCAAAGCATAGAAGTAAATCAACAACAGAATGGCTTAAACAGAAGAAAATACGCCTTCTGAAGTGGCCCAGTCAGAGTCCTGACCTCAACCCGATTGAGATGCTTTGGCATGTCCTCAAGAAAGCGATTCACACCAGACATCCCAAGAATATTGCTGAACTGAAACAGTTCTGTAAAGAGGAATGGTCAAGAATTACTCCTGACCGTTGTGCACGTCTGATCTGCAACTACAGGAAACGTTTGGTTGAAGTTATTGCTGCCAAAGGAGGTTCAACCAGTTATTAAATCCAAGGGTTCACATACTTTTTCCACCTTCACTGTGAATGTTTACATGGTGTGTTCAATAAAAACATATCATTCTTTGTTTGTTATTAGTTTAAGCAGACTGTGATTGTCTATTGTTGTGACTTAGATGATGATCAGATCACATTTTATGACCAATTTGTACAGAAATCCATATCATTCCAAAGGGTTCACATACTTTTTCTTGCAACTGTATATATATATATATATATATATATATATATATAAATAATTTTATTCTAACTGTATTTTGATATTATATATATATTAATATATATATATATATATATATATATATTTATATCAAAATACACTTAGAATTAAATTCTATATATATCTATGTATATCCCCTTAACGACCGTGGACGTACCTAGTACGACCGCAGCAAATAGGAGCCCTGGACTTACCTGGAACCGCAATCTGCGGCAATCATGGTCGGGGGGATTGCCGGAGACCCCGACAGTCCCTCTGCAGCAGCTCTGGCCACCCCGGCCCTCCAGGGCCATGTGATCACCATGATCACATCGCCGCAATAGGAGTCTAGGAGCTGCCAGCAGGGGGACTGTCTGAGCTGTCAGCCAGTCCCCCAGGATACTAAAACAGTAAAAAAAAATATATAAATATATATGTAAAATAGATTATAAAATAATTTAAGCATTTTATAATATATATATTACATATATAATGCATATATGGTTTCATTCTAAATGTACTTTGAGCAGGCCCGGACTGGCCATCGGGCACACCGGGCAAATGCCCGGTGGGCCGCGGTGTCCGTGGGGCCGAGGCCGGCAGGGGAGGTCCCAGGATCTCCCCTGCCGGTCTATGCAGGGCCGGCACTCTCCTAGCACCGGCCCCGCTGTTTGTCCACGACGGGCCGGTGGGGAGATCAAGGATCTCCCTGACCGGCCCACATGCGGCCGCCGGCGGGGAGGGAGGGAGGGAGCCAGCCAGCCAGGCTGGAGAGAGGACCCGGCGGAGCTCTAACTTGCAGCTCCGCCGGGTTCCTCTCGCGAGATCCGGCGCGTTGCCATGGCAACGACCGGATCTCGCGAGAGTGAACTCTAGCCTCACAGGCTATGCTGGCTAGAGTTCACTCACCCACGAGGACCACCAGGGAACAGCTCCACCCCGCCTGCCAGCGTGCCGGACCCCCCCCTCCCAGGCTAAAGGTAAGAAGGGAGGGGGGGGGGATAATGACTGTTTTTTTTTGTTTTGTTTTTTTAAATTTTATTTACCCCC